CAGCGGAGTTACCTTTTTATTATCACCTATGTAAAAAAAAAAAAAACCAACAGCGGCACAGGCAATTTAAAACTTTGACGCTTTCGAGCTCAATTTGTCAACTTTGCTTTAGCATTTTCATTTTTTCCATCACGGCTACAGAGCCGCCGTAAATCAACTGAGCACGGTTCAAAATACATTGATTCATGCACTATAGCTGGATGTTTCAATCTAAAATTGGATTTTTCCAAAGTCGTAAAGTTAAATAGGATTGGTGTGGGTCTTAGCGTGAAATAGTTTTGATTCCAAAATGTTTTGATACGGTTGTTAGAATTGGACTTGCTTGTTATATTTGTAAAATAAATTTTGATATATTTCCAAAAAAATAAAGAAAATTTTGTAAGAGAAGTCAGAGATGGCAAATAAGCATATGGCATACCTAATGGCAAGCAGTTACCGTAGCCTATGAACGCCTGCAATACCAGACGTATTACGCGCGCGTTGCCGACCCTAAAGAAACCTCTTTACCCCCCTTTTGAAGAACTCCATAAAACTGTAAAAAAAAATATTTATCACTTGGGTTTAACTAAATGCCAGAAATGGCCAGACTTTTAAATAAAAAAAGTATATAACATAAATTGTCATTTTCTGAATAAATTTTTAAAAAAGTGCTGTAGTTATAGGTAATTCAAGATGTGATTTGACATGTCCCATTCGTGTTTCAACCGAAACGCAGTTGTGTTTGCATGTGTGTGTAAACAAGCATACGGCCCACCATCACGTGGGCCGTATGCTTGTTTGCGACCTCAGTGGTATATAACGTACTGCAATACATATAATGGTCACAGACAGTGCAGTTTCAGAGGAGTTTCCTCCCGCGAACATTTAGGATGTAGAATGGTCTTCCATCTAAGACTACATACAGCATGGAGTTCTTCAAAAAGAACGTATAAGGTTCCTTAAACTTCCTTCCGAGGCTTTCCCTAGAGACTACGTCATGGGGTTCTTCAAAAAGGGCGTAAGAGTTTTCTTAAGGGTTACATCCCTGATATTACAGGCGTCCATAGGCTACAGTGGCCGTTCACCATCAGGCGGGCTATATGTTTATTCACCAATTTTATGGTACAAAATAAATAACGCACTAATGAAAAAACTACACCGATCGCTTTAATGAAGTTACTTCATAAATTAACATGAATGAGTATGTACACAAATCTTCATTTAGATTTGGGACGTTGAAATAAAGACTTCTCAATTCAGCGCGGAGTATTTATAGAGCCTGGGGGAAATGCGTACTGTCGTAGTTCCTGGAACCTTAATTTCGCCAGTCCATATTTCGGTGACAAAAGGTACGGCTTCAAACACAGCGAGAATAAGAATTTTTAAACTCCTATAGGAATAAGTACATATTGGCGTGGCGATAATAAAAGACTAGTCCGTATGTGATGAAATTGAAACTATAAAGACAACTTTTAAAGAGGTATTCTAGCTGTAAAACTGAATGTTTCAAAAAGAGGCAGGAATGGAAAACCTAAAAAAAATTAACATGCCTTATACCCATACTTCACTTAAAATTTGTCAAGATAGAATAGAAAGCATTACATTCTTTGTAGCTAGTCAACCCTTGTTCCTCTGGGGAAACCTTTTAGATTCATTAACTCCTTTCCTTTTTCCTTGAAAGGATGTTAATGTTTTTTCAATATAAAATATCAAAGGTTAAACTTAGAGATTAACAGTTTGTAGAAAATACTAGAAAAATGTCATCATCATCATCATGATATTAATCATTATATGTCCACTGTTGGACATAGGCCTCCCCCATTGGCTGTCATTAAGAATGATTTTGAGCCATCTAGCTTCACTGACTCACTGCAATAAATTTGAGATCGTCACTCCATCTATTGAGAGATTGTCCTACGTTGCATTAATTGTACGGGATCGCCGCTCAAGAATCTTTCTTTCTCATCGGTTGCCACTTCACTAGAAAAATGTGAATAGGCTATTCCTAGGCCCGTGGGCTCTATCTTAGATCAAATCATTGCTTTCTATCAGGTGAAATGGTGATCAATCGCGGGGTCCTTCAATGGTAAAAAATGTATAAATTCAAAATTAAAAAAATGGTTAATTTTGAAATTTCTAACCGAATAAAAATATGCAATAAATAAAAAAAACCAATTGTGTTCAGACGTAGACGCTCTGTCACATAATACGCTAAAACTCACACCGCGCCTTTGCAGGAATGGAGTTCAGGATTTCAAACCGAGTTTATTAGGGGAGATGTAGACTTCGAGCATACAATGTGACAAATTATATCAGCTCGGGGCGTTCCTGTATCGATTCGTATGCAGAATGCATATATTTCATCTTCTGTCAATATTTGAATACGTTAATATGATGTATTAGACTTTAATTTACATACCCATCATCAGGATAAGTTGGAGGCTTTGATATGCATACGATGCATATGAGGTTGAGGTATGAGCTACCGTTTACATATATTCTTTTTTTTATACAACTTAGAACGGCAAACAAGCTGACGTCCTCCTGATGGAAAGTGGCAACCGTCGCCTATAGACATGAGCAGTACCATGGACATAACAGAGTATACTGTTTCGCCCATGATACCTCCAATGCGTTGCCATTCCTAAGGACTCAGGTGTTCTTTCTCTGTACTCTGTAAATTCACGCCATATCCCACCCTTCAAACCGAAACACATATATACAACAACTGTTTCACGGTAGAAACACGAATGAAAAACACCGCTTCAAAACGTAGAAACACCACTTTCCATTAGGGGGCCTCAGTTTGGCCGGCAGCACACCTGCAATGTCGCTGGTGTTGTGGGTGATCATGGGCGGCGGTAGTCACTTACCATCAGGTGAGCCGCATGCTCGTTTGCCCCCTGTGTTGTAAAAAAAAAGCTTGTTTGCCATTCTAAGTTGCATAAAAAAAAAAAGGTTTACAAAAACAAATTTTATTCAAACGGCTACAGAATTATTGAGGATGCCGTGTAATTTAAAAGAAATAGTTGAATGGAGTACCTTCTCCTTTAGAAGGAACGCAGTTCTTTGTAGTTATAAATATTCCAAGTCTTACGGTTTAATGGTTTCATATCACAAACCTACGTATGGGTGGTCCCACGGATTATGTAAAATGAATGCCCTTCTATTTATTTAGGATTATACGGATCTTATGAAAACGGACCAAATGTGCACGGTAAAATACCTCTATTATTGGCGTAGATATATTATTTTATATCTTTCTAACATAGTATGTTGGGGGGAAAGGGATTGTTAGTAATGGAGACTGAGAATCCCATTGCTAGCAATATACCCAACCAGGTCGACCTCCTCGCGGTCCTCCCTGGAAACTATTATGGCTAATTCCTGATTAATTCATTATGATGGGCTAACTGGCCTGTTTTCATTCTCATCTATCACCCTTCACTGGTGCTCCGCCAGCGTATCCCGTTAGCGCAGGTGGTTACCATACCATTCACCCATTAATAAAAACATAGTATGTTACCAGTGATCCAGTTCGGTTTAACATGGATGCAATTTTTACAAAATAAAAAGCCGTGAAGGAATTCCAAAAGCAGACAATAGAGATACGTGTTGAATTCGAATTTGGTAAATAATAATAAAATATAAAAAGTATAAATAATATATGTGGCTTGTAGTCCACAACATGAAATGTATAATATAAGTTATGTTATGTCCATGGTACTGCTCATGTCTATAGGCGACGGTTACCACTTTCCATCAGGTGGGCCGTCAGCTTGTTTGCCATTCTAAGTTGTATAAAAAAAAAAGTTAATACTAGGCAGACTTTTTAGTGTTACAGACACATATTTATCGTAGTGTGAATCTGTTAGTGCCAATTCTAATCCTTAATTACAGCATTTTAAGAGGACGATGTAAAATTGTCATTCGTAATTTACTGGGTTTAAGATTTATATTAAGATTTAATCTGTTTGATTAATTTTTACTAATATTACAAGTGTGAGTGTTTTTTTTTACAACGCAGGGGGCAAACGAGCATGCGGCTCACCTGATGGTAAGTGACTACCGCCGCCCATGATCACCCGCAACACTAAAGGCATTGCAGGTGTGCTGCCGGCCTTTTAAAAATATTCTTTTCTTAAAAGTTATGTTGTCGTATCGGTTCGGAAATACTGTTGCTGGGAGTTGATTCCAAAGAATGGATGTGCGTGGAAGAAAGTGCCTTGAAAGTGAGTTTTTTTGTTTTTATGGCCTGTACCGTATTAATGACTTAACCAATAGCCATGAAATTTATGGTATCTCTCTGCGTCCACTTCATTACTGAAGGTCGTGTCCTTGAAAGGTGTCTGTTGCCTCTCTTATGATATTACTCCATCTCGCACGGTCTTCAGCCTCTCGCAGGGCAGCTGCAACTGACAGTCCCGTAACGGCGTTTATTTGGTCCGACCATCGATTAGGTGATCGCTCGCGTGGTTTTTGGTATATATGTACTATTTAGAATGGAGAAGAACATAGGTTTTATCTTGGTCAGTAAACATATCCCGATTATGTGAACGAAGTCGCAGGAATAAGTTAGTTATAAAGACCAATTGTATACTTAGATATAAACTAAACTAATTTCCCTTATAAACCAATTTCAATTAGTGCAAATAAGTTTATTTTTTTAATGATGGGTTGGTGCTCCTGTTCTCACTTTGATATTATATTTACTTATAATGTTTAAAGTATATCTGTGTTGTTAAGCCATATATGTCAATTATCTACAACTCTGTATGTATCTGTTTTTTTTTTTTCTATATAATCATTTCATCACTGTATCATTTCATCTCTCTATATACTTATTTTATACGCATATGGTTCAATTTTGTCAATTAACTACATATATAGATTTGTACTATTGTATATATTTCGGTACTTGTTGTCTATTTTTATATAATATAAAAAAAATTAACTATTTTTTTTTGTAATGAATCTTTGTACTAAAATAGAATAAAAAAAATATATATAAAAAAACCGACCTTCCCATGGTGGGTGGTGTTATCATGGTGTATGTCAATCAACTCCGGGTCCTCTGTAGAGATGTCATGGCCGTGCCTGTGCGCTAGACTCGATACCTGAAACAAATGAAAAATGACAGAATTAAAAAATATAGTTTTAACTTTACAGTCATATTATTTATTTTTCCATCTAAGAAAAAAGAATTATATAGAAGGAATCATAAAATAAAAACTGTAAATCATATGGTTGTCTCATTTCTTCTTATACAAATATAATTAGTAAAACGAGGACGAAAGATACACCGTCAGTTGTTATTTTTCTCAATTCATAGCAGGCTAGTGTATAGAAAATGTTTGATATGTCAATTATTTGTCAATGACAAATTTTACATTACTAGATTATATATTGGACACAGTTTATGTAGAAAGTATGAAAGCAGGTTGTATCTGAATTTGGTAGGGTTATACGGCTGTATAACATTTTTTGTACACCAGCCTGCTATCAATTGATAATTTTATCACTCCTTCTATGTAATTCCTTATTGTTGGGTTTGTATTGTGCCAGCATAGATAAATAAGCAGAGGATGTATGGATAATGTCATAAACATAATGACAGTTGACATCTGTCATATGACAGATGTCTCGAGCCACCGATAGGACAGGCGGGTGAGAGAATTTTATTATCATCATATAAAAAAGTTATTTAAAAAAAATCTCATTTTTTTTTATAATATAGAGACATGAAAGATCTCATTTTATTAGTTTCAAAGTACCCATTAGTGGAGTTAAGAAGCCCACGACATATTTTACATAATCCACCAAGTTTAATAGCCCTTTTACTCTGAAGGCGTAATATTAACGGAGTACGTGGATAAAAAAGATTTCTTCAATCAAGTAAAGCGACTTTCTCAGAATTCCAAAGTAATATTAGCTTAACTCAAGCATATATATATCATATCATATCAAAAATATATCTTATTTTAAACCGAGAAGTCTCGTTTACTCACTTAATTTTCCAAACTTTTAACCAGTTTGTTTAATTTGTAATTTAGTATTATTATTTTGAATTAATTTAGCAGAGTATTTATTGTTATTTTTAAATAAACTATTCAAATTTATATATTTATTAATATTTTTAAGTTACACAGTGTATTAGAGGCGACATATTTCTTTTCTTACAATTACCAGACAGCAACCAGAGAGCATCACTCTACATACATCATAGACTAATGAAGTTGCCATATTAGGAAACGTGTGGATTGATTTCTCAAACAGTATATTTGACTGTTAAAAAGTTGACCTGCTTCGCTCGAAGCATTTCTATAGAGACACTCTATCTATATAATCTAAAGCTATAGGTAATATCTTGAGGACTAGACATTTGGTGCGACTGTGTAGCACTAATGTATATAAAAATTAACTGTATCCTGTGGCTTCGTTCGTAGTTGTATCATGTTGTTGAACAGTCTATAACTTACTGAAAAAATTTGTAGTTCCTAAGATTTTTTTTGAACGCTGGCGGAACACTAGTGAAGGTGACGTGATAGATGAGAATGAAAACAGGCCAGTTAGCCCATCATGATGAATTCATCAGGAATTAACCATGATAGTTTCCAGGGGAACCGCGAGGAGGTCAACCTGGTTGGGTGTATTGCTAGCAATGGGATTCTCAGTCTCCATTACTAACAATCCCTTTTCCCCCAGTTCCTGAGATTAGCGCTGTTAAACAAACAAGTAAATGCTTTAACTTTAAAAGTATAGAGTCGTGTATAATTTGACGATAGGTTACGATACAAAATCAATGATTATGTCCTTACGTTTATATTTAAAGTTGAATAACCTTATGCATATTAGTGGATAGACTGCACTGGGCACACAGCGGGGACCCGTGCCTAATGTACCGAAATGCCCAGCGAGCCGACTAATGTGAAGTCCACGGAAGGTCTCAGCGTTTACAGAACGGTGATATTAATCTCGAAATTGAAAAAAAAAAAAAATGTAATAAATCATTATTATCAGAAGTTTGGATTTATTAAGATTACCGTCTGCAATTTATTTGTTTATATACTTTAGAATATTCACTTTTAATATTTGGTTATAACAAATGTGTACACAGGCGGACACGTCAATTTATAGTTTTACAATTTAGCATAATATAATATTTGGACACTGAGAACGGACTAGTTTTCTAGGACTAGGACCTCTTTTCTCGTAGGTGTCTTAAGACGTAACTAAGGAAACTTAATGTTCGAGGGATGGACAGCAGCGTCTCTCTTAAAACGTCACCAAAGCCTAACTGCGGTTGTCAACCCGATTGTAAAGTGCAATGCTTACTCATACATCAATTTTTATTTAGCTATGATTACAATGTACTTATAAAAATATGTACAAAACAAAAGTAATTATATTAAGAAAATACTAAATTCCTTGAAAAACAACAGCGCCTACAAAAATATAATAGCAATGTTGTATAGCTGTATTTTGTGTACACTTTCAATTTAGTAGGCGCTCTGAGAGACTTGACTAGAATTAATTATTGTCTATTTGGTTGTCGTTTGTAACTTGGTGGCAACAAAATTAAATGGTTAATGAGATTGGATCCATGATGAGTCTTAAAGTGGTAACATTTGTACATTTCGCAGTCAAATGATGCCACAAGTAATTACGCTTTGTTGAATTTAAATTTGTCATAATACCTATCTACAGCTATGTATGTTATTTGAGTTTTAATTATAAAAAGAAAATAAAATAGTAGTAATAAGTATATATAGCATTTCATTTAAGTCTATACATATAAAAAAAATTGGAGTGTCTGTTTGTAATATTAAAATAACTGTTTTCTACTACATGTATATGAATATATATACGGAACATGTACCAAAATAATTTTTTTTACAATTTTTGACTGTCTGTCTGTATGTCTGTCTGTTTGTTCCGGCTAATCTCTGAAATAGCTGGACCGATTTTGACGGGACTTTTATTGGCAGGTAGCTGATGTAATAAGGAATAACATAGGCTACGTTTATTTTAGAAAAAGTTCTTTTATTTTAGAAAAATAATGTTGCAATATCCAAGTACTGTTCAGTACTGCGCGCAGCTCACGCACATGCCACCACTGAGCCGTCACGTGCGGGCGAATAAAAATATAACTTAATTTTAGAATAAATAAAAATACAATGAAATTAAGTAGGTATCATTAAAAAAAAAAACAAAAAAATTAAAGAATCGATTGTCAGGCGGAACGAAGTTCGCCAGGTCAGCTGTTAAGACTAAATAAATTAAGTAAGGATGGGACAAATAGGGCAGTTTAAGAAAATGTTACCATGGCAACAAACAGACATCCATAGCAACGAAGGTTTGTTCGATACTTGTACCAGAAAAGAGAGACTTCACGAAAATGGTGATCCTTCTTGTAAAAAGAGGCGATGAAAATCAATTTTTATACGAAACTGATATAAATAATCCAGTTGATGATGTAATTAATGACGTGGTAGCCATTTTCAATGGCAGACTAAAGGTGACAAGGATTTGTTATGAGCTTGAGGAGTTGCGTGATCACGGAACGTTCTTGCCACCGGAGATGCAAGGATTGACTGACGATCAGGTACAAAACTGTCTGAATTATTGCTTTTTTTTTTGTACAACTAAGAATGGCAAACAAGTTGGCCCACCTAATGGAAAGTGGTAACCGTCGCCTATAGACATGAGCAGTACATGGACATAACAGAGTATACTGTTTCGCCCATGATACCTCCCATGCATTGCCATTCCTGAGGACTCAGATGTGATTCCTCTGTACTCTGTAAATTCACGCTATATCCCATCCTTCAAACGGAAACACAGCCGTGCAAACACAACTGCTTTACGGTAGAAACATGAATGGTACAGAGGTGTCCAAGCAATCGACTTTTGTACAAAGTCTCCCTCTGGTAAAACAATTGCTTGAACAATTAATCTGCATTGGCATATCTGTATAGCTTATTAATCATCAATATCATCATCATCTTACCCGTCCACTGTTAACACAGACCTCCCCCATAAACTGTCCATATGGAACGATCAGCATTAAATGTTTCCAGGGTGTTGTTACGGTTGCCATGTTTTTGTAATGCATCCACAATGTTTACAGCAGCATCGACAGATGACTTCCAAGCCATCAGACGCAAACGGATCGCATCTCTTTTACACCGAATGCGTGGCAACAGTAATAGTAATACCAGAGGGAGACTTTGTACAAAAGTCGTTTGCTTGGGTACCTCTGTCCTATTCATGTTTCAACCGTGAAGCAGTTGTGTTTGCATGGCTGTGTGTTGGTGTGAAGGATAAGACATAGCAATGAATTTACAAGGCACAGAAGAATAACATCTGAGTCCTCAGGAATGGCGCATGGAGGTACCATGGGCGAAACAGAATACTCTGTTATGTCCATGGTACTGCTTATGTCTATAGGCGACGGTTACCACTTTCCATCAGATAGGTCGTCTGTTTGTTTGCCATTCTAAGTTGTATATAAAAAAATACAGCTAGTAAAAAATACATACAGACGTTTTGCTACAATATAAGTGTATTTTAGTATTTAGTACCATGTAAAATATAAAGACTAGTAGATACTACAGAATTCAAAAATTAACACCTAACAATCTATCAGATTAAAGAGTTAAAGCTAGAAGACCCTTGGGCTAAACGGTGCGCGCCGCCTGGCTACGTGGAGAATAAGGATGAAATGGGCAGACGCTGTGGCCTCGCTCCCCCACCGAATATGCAAGAAGTCCTAAAGAAAGCCTCGGAATTTGCTAAGGAGTGTATTAGCAAAAAACATGTGAGTCTGGATTCGATTACAATTCTATATGTCTAGATGTGAGATTCCTTAAAACAACGATATTTTTTTTTATTTATTTATTTAAAGGAACCCCAACAGCATATTGCATTATAACACATATAACAAATATCACCAGAGGGAGACTTTGTACAAAAGTCGATTGCTTGGGTACCTCTGTCCTATTCGTGTTTCAACCGTGAAGCAGTTGTGTTTGCATGGCTGTGTTTCGGTTTGAAGGGTGGGATATGGCGTGAAATTACTGGGTACAGAGGAATAACACCGGAGTCCTCAAGAATGGCAACTCATGGGGGGTATCATGGGCGAAACAGTATACTCTGTTATGTCCATGGTACTGCTCACGTCTATAGGCGACGGTTACCACTTTCCATCAGGTGGGCCGTCAGCTTGTTTGGCATTCTAAGTTGTATAAAAAAAAAACATTAAATACAATGCATTATAAAAGCACATGCCTATTAAATGTATTCACAGCAATTTTTTATGAATATAGACGCTAAGTTTATTTGTATATTTTTACTAAATGTATTTTCAAAACAGAGTTTATAATAGAGAACAGAAGAGGCAAAATGCTGGACCACCTTATACGACAAGATTTTAAAGAGCATAGTAGAAGGAAAAATAGAGGGCAAAAGAAGAAGAGGAAGACAAGGAATAACTACACTGGACAGATAAACACTAGGTGTCATGTCATATAGGAGGTCTAAGATATGACATGGGATAGAGCTAGCTGGAGGAAAATATATGAATTAGTTGCACCGATAAGAGGAAACTCTTAAATTTTTTTTGAAAATTTATTTTATAAAGAGACTATATTTTTATTTATTTATACCTATAGATGTTTTTAATTGAATAGATATTTTATTTATTTATTTGTATCTATAATTTTTAAGTCGATTGGTAGTAGAAGTAGTTACAGGCTTATATCGTCATAGTCGTAGAATACTGACGGATCTATATATGTAATATTTGTCAGATCCGTCAGTATTGTACGACTATGACGATATAAGCCTGTAACTACGAATAAACTGTCAGTTTATCTCATACTGGGTTTGTTGGAGAAAATCTCTTTTAGAGATTTTCTCCAACAAACCCTCGCCTTTGTGTACTATTATATTTAAATGTTATTCTGATACAATTTCTTTTTGTGTACAATAAAGAATAAAAATCTCTTACCAGATTAGAACAAAGCTCTCCATGCTTACATATATTTATATCTCTTGCCTTATTTTTATAAATATTTTCTCTTGACTTCTTTCTCAGATTGTAAACGTTTTATTTGTTCATAACATATTGCTTTTAAATTTGTTTTAAACTAGTACCTACATACCTCCATTTTTCGTTTGTTTACCTGGTTCGTTATTTTTTTATATACATTATTCTGAGAATTAAAATTTTCCACAAGTGTGTCATAACAGATTGATTACGTGTCAAATTTTGTCTATTTTCTAATATATATTTGTTTTACTAACAGGTTGATCTACGCAAATGTCTCACACAGAAAGACGTCGCCAGGGCATTGGACGAGCTCCGAGGGGCCACTAAGATCGTTTTCCCTGCTGGATTACCACCGCACGATCCTGTTCGCATGGAACTGGATAACGTGGAAGACTTGTCTGGTACTCAAGCTGCGAACGAGGTGATTGACCCGTCGAGAGCCTGTATGTGGTATTGTGGCAAGAAATTTTTGAGCGGAAATAAGTTGAGCGATCATTTGGGTTAGTTTTCACATATATATTGTATTTCTTCTACCACGTAACCTCATTTTATACATAGCAGAATATAAAATTGAAATATACTATTATAAAGTAACGAGAATCATCAAATATGTATATATATATATATATATATATATATATATATATATATATATATATATATATATATATATATATATATATATATATATATATATATATATATATATATATATATATATATATATATATATATATATATATATATATATATATATATGTCATAATATTTATTATTACAAATATGAAAATGCTTGAAAATATTTTAATGTTATATTATTTGACGATTAAAAATATAAATGAATTGTATTTAATAAATAGACTATATTTTATACGTATGGGATTACTATTTTTTATTTAATGGATGATAATGGAATGGTTATCCCGTCTGAGCTTATGGTATATGCTGGTGGGGCACCGGTGAGGGATGATAGATGAGAATCAAAGAGCAGGTCAGTTAGCCTATCGTGATGAATTTCAGTACGATAGTTTTTCATGGGGAGGTCGACCTGATAGGGCATATTGTTAGCAATGGGTAGTCTAAATTACTAACAATCCCTCTAGTTATACTTACTCGATAATTATAAATACTCTATACAATACATACTAATTGATAATTTTTAAATTTATTTTAATTTATACGGACAATGCCATGAGAGAAATCTAATAGTTTTATTTTTTTTTGTAGGCAAAAACAATAAGTCCAAAGTGACGGTGAAGCTCTGCTCAACGTCCGAAGGTGCTCCAGGTCGCGAGCCCATCCTGACAGAAGATGAGCGGAAACAACTGATGCTCCATGCTTACAGGAAGCAGGAAGAATGGAAGAAACTCGAGCAAGATGACGACGACAACTACCTGAACTCGAAGTGGGCTGATGGGCAGAATCTGAAGAGACAGTTCCACGGATTAAATGATATCTCTTGGAAGCCAATTATAAGGAAATGAATGTATTTTTTAGTTTCTAGGTTTTCTTGCATTTTGCTTTAATACTTTTTCCGTTATAATTAATTTCTGTGAATCATGATACTTCAACCAAATTTAAACCTTAACGCCAATCATCCTGAATGACACACTTATAGCATATTTATCGTTTATATAATAATCAGGGCCGTAGCTAGACTCCGAAAAAAAAATCTGTCTAATTTTCTTGGAGCCTTTTATTTTAAGGTAGGACATTGCCCCTTAATGCCCCCCCCCCCCTTCACAGCTACGACTATGATAATAATACATTTTTATAATATCCTATTGCCTGTTATTTGAGGCCAGTGTTTCTGTTTACCGTTTATATTCACAGCAAAACTCGAGTTTTGATTACACATAGTTCATCCATCTTTTCTAGGGTCGCTCTCTTCTTTTACATATCGTCACAGTCGTAGAATACTGACGGATCTGACGAACATTACGTATAAAGATCCGTCAGTATTCTACGACTGTGACGATATATACGCTTTCTTATTAAATACCTTTAATATATTACTTATAGATACTTCTTCCTATCACATGCTGTTATATCATTTAATTAGGTTTATTAACTTTATCATCGTTTCTGTATAGAGTAAGCAGAGAGACAAAGTGGCAAAGGCCTCCATCTTTTCATTCCTTACAGTAACTGTGTAGGATTGTGTTATATTAAGATATCTGATTGTAGTTCGTTTGAATACTGAATATATATTATTCTTTATCTTAATTACATATCTGTTTTATTCATTAAACTGTTATACTATGACATAACATAAGTTTGTATTTACCAGAGGGAGACTTTGTACAAAAGTCGTTTGCTTGGGTACCTCTGTCCTATTCGTGTTTCAACCGTGAAGCAGTTGTGTTTGCATGGCTGTGTTTCGGTTTGAAGGGTGGAATATGGCGTGAATTTACTGGGTACGGAGGACTAACATCTGAGACCTCAGGAATGGCAACGCATGGGGGGTATGGGCGAAACAGTATACTCTGTTATGTCCATGTACTGCTCATGTCTATAGGCGACGGTTACCACTTTTTATCAGGTGGGCCGTCAGCTTGTTTGTCATTCTAAGTTGTATAAAAAAAAATATTTGTTAATATCAGATTGATACTTCGATATGAAATGAATCTAGAAATAATACGAGATTTGGAAATAGTTGAATGGATTTATGATAGATACTATATAGTTGGAATAGTCGTTTATAGCACTGGAAGGAGCAAATAAGCTTAATTTACATGCTAATCAAACGTCATAAAATTAAACAAATTTTTATTATTAATTATTGTAATTATTTATATTTATAATAAGTTTACTATTGTAATCTTTTGGAGGAAACAAAGAGTATCTATCTATCTATTAATCTATCTAATTAAAACTGTTATTTATTTAAAGCCTATTACACACTAAACGATTACTTGAATGACAAACGTGCATAGTATCAGATAATCATGCACGGACTTTTAGCGACTATGTAGTTTTAGACATAGCACATTTAAATAAATACACATAATGTTAATAGAGATTTGAAACATTGTCGACCCTGAAGAAACCTCTTTATCCTTTTATTGATGAACCCCATGTACTCCATTAAATCTCCCATGTATAGTCACCATTTAAATTAAAGCTTCTTTCTATCACATCTTTATATTCTAGAAATAATAGGATTTCATCGTGCCTCCGATCAAACTGTTTATAATTACTCCTCTCCATCCAAAGGTTGGCTGGAAGAGATCGATCTTTTAGCGATAAGGTTGCCCATTGTTTTTTCATTGTGATTATTTCTTGTAATTGTTTATATTTATAATAAGTTTACTATTGTAATCTTTTGGAGGAAACAATAAAGAGTATCTATCTATCTAAAAAGACATTTAATATAATAAAGGCCGTGTGACAGAACTTTTTGGCATCTGTTTAATTGCCTTAAAAATGTAGGCTGCATGCCTTAATTTAAAGTATTAATTTGCATGCCTACAAAACTAATGTTTTTTTTTTTTAAACACAGGGGACAAACGAGTATTTATATTTATAATAAGTTTACTATTGTAATCTTTTGAAGGGAACAATAAAGTGTATCTATCTATCTTATTTTTGGCAGCGACATGTTTCTAATATTGTCTTATTTTTTTTAATAACACCTGTACTTCTATTGAATATTATCGTCAAATACATATTCAATAACTTCAGAACAACAACGGGCGCGTTAATTCCGTGTCACCGCGTCCGTCAAACGAACACGACGTTATTAGCGGGGTGATCAATGGTGTCGGCACGAGAAGTCTCTCTCACAAAAACACCCACGTTTCGTTCACTACGAAAGAATATTCGAGATTAATGTTTTTAAAGGATTGTTATTTCGTTTAAGTACTTGGAGCATTCATAACGAAGCGTATTGAAGTGGATAAAAGTTAAAATTGTCTCAATAGATTAGTATTGTCAATTTTCAAAAATACGGTTCTCTTTGTCTACCCTGTAGGTGGTCTTTTTTTTATACCACTGAGGTGACAAACAAGCGTACAGCCCATCTAATGATAAACGGCTACCGTAACCTATGAACACGTGCAATACCAGGGAGTTTACACTTTGGGCTGACCCTGAAGAAACTTCTTTACCCATTTTTGAACCCCATACTGTAATCTCTTGGAAAAACCTCTACAGGCAGCTCCCTGAAGAGGTTATTCCAAGAGCTGGAATGAGTTCATTCCATAACTTGAGCGTTCGGGAGGAAAGGGATTGTTAGTAATGAGATTTAACAACCTCATTGCTAGCAATACATTCTATCAGGTCGACCTCCACGCGGTTCCCTCTGGAAACCATAGTGGTTAGTTCTTATTCAGTTAGCCATTATGGGCCAACTGACTTGCCATTATCCTCCCTGTCACCCTTCACTGGTGTTCCGCCAGCGTATACCGATAGCGCAGGCGGGGTTTTTTTTTTATGGGTGAAAATGGTATGGTAACCCCGCCTGCGCTTTCGGTATACATTAAAAGACACAACTGAGAGATGATAGATAAGAATAAAAGCAGGCCCTTTAGTGTGGCAAGCGAATTCGTCGATGGAACCGACATCGCTAGCGAGTCCGTGAGTTGGAATGAGTCATCCGGCGTTGCTATCTCATTCTGTCTCACGGACTCGCTAGCGATGTCGTTTCCATCCACGAATTCGCCTGCCATTTGTCTAGAGGGCCTGGTCAGTTGGCCTCTTGTGACGAATTCAACAAGAACTAGCCACGGTAGTTTCCAGGGTGTACCGAGTTGAAGTCGACCTCATAAGGTATCTTGCTAGCAGTGAGACTGTTAAACCCCATTACTAACAATCCCTTTCCCCCCACACTAAACTGTTTTCTAACATTAAAAACACTTTGAAATATTTTACGCCACTATCCTTTTAAAAACATTTCTTAGCAATAAACTAAGTGCTTTCGTAATTTTCTACAGTTTCTATATAAAGAGTAAGATCACAGAGTACCTTAAAGAAAACGAAGCTTCAGCTTAATAGGTGCTATTACTAGTTCATTTGGAAGTGCTCGTTAAAAGAGTGTAGGTACAAAGGATTGTATAGTTGGCCAGGTGTCTGTACACTTTAGTGCACGTCTGAGTAATGCTCACGAAGGATAGACAAGAATCGATTCATATTTATTGTTAAGACGTCGGTCTATCCACTTATTTCATTATCAATGTTGTTAAAATTAATTACTAATATTATAAAGAAACGCAGCGTAGAACGACCCCCCACTAGATGGAGTGACGATCTGAAATGCATTGCAGGGATGTGGATGGAGGTGGCTCAGGACCGTTCTTTATGGCAGTCTATGGGAGAGGCTCATGTCCAGCAGTGGACAGATAACGGCTGAAATGATGACGATGATGATTATAAAAAAAGACTTGTATTTTTGTTTGTAATCGATAAACTCAAATAATTTGTTTACAAAAAAGACATCAAATGTTGCAAAATCAGTTATATTGATTTAAAAATTACTGAATTAAAAAGCGTAACTAACCCATTAATATTTAGAGTTAAACATTTTAAATAAAAAGATTTATTTATTTATTTAATTTTGTGCAACTTAGAACGCCAAACAAATTTACTGCCCACTTGATAGAAAGTGGCAACCATCGCCTATAGACTTGAACAGTACCATGGACATAAGTATATTATGTCACCCATGATATTCCTCATGCATTGCCATTACTGAGGACACAGGTGTTATTTCTCTGTACCCTATAATTTCACTGCTATATTCCACCCTTCAAACCGAAACACAGCCATGCAAACACAACTACTTCACGGCGGAAACACGAATAGGACAGAGGTACCCAAGCAAACGACTTATGCACGAAGTTTCCTTATGGCATTAGCCCATATTTGTTTTATAGTAATCAATTTTATTTTTAATATACATATTTAATTAAATAATTATTTTAATAAACTACATAATAACCATTATCGCTTCGCAATAATTGGAAGATTAAAAATTAAACAATTCAAATATTGTGTAAATACACCTGTACGCTCTCCCATTCACCAACTGGGGTGAATCGATATTCCCAGTGTCACTGTAACATAGATTGATGGTATAATTGGATTTCACCCACATCCAATTGTGTATTGGAACGTATTGAATTGGTGTAATAAATTTGAACTGTCCACGGGAAATATAACAATTGGGAATGCAATGCAAATTGTTGTGGTTAACATTATGGGGTTGGATTTGACTAAAATGAGAATTCTATTATCAAGACAGATCCTATATGGAGTAAGTAGAGGCTACTAACTGCTAAAGTGCTTTATTTTTACACGCGAATATAACAGATAGTCTGAGACGTGCTTTTCCGTTGGCTGGTTTCGTTTGACACAGGGTACTTCAGCTAGACATCTAGATGATTTGTTTATGGATGATAATGGAATGGTAATCCCGCTTGCGTTATCGGTATACGCTGACAGGGCACCAGTGAGGGTTGATAGGTGAGGATGAAAGCAGGTCAGTTGGCCCATCGTGATGAATTTATTTAGAAATAACCTATGGATGGTTTCCAGGGGTAACCGCGGGGAGATCGACTTGCAAGAGTATACTGTATATATTGAAATGATATGAAATGAATTTATTTTGCTAGAATGCAGGTAATTTTAGATGATAGAAGTTTACATTTCTCGTGTACATTTTGCCTCTATGTCGGCGTGCAAATTTTTAACAATATAAGAAATTTATATATTTATTCTACATTATATTTCCTTCCCTTTGTCATACAATGTATTATTATTATTTATTACAATAAACGGAAAATAAAAGCCTGTACAATAGTTGTCGAAATTATTAAAATATTTTAACAAACTGTGATATTAATTGAATGTATAAGAACAGAAGTATTGCTGGCAATGGGGCCATTTCACTACTAACAACCTCATCTTCTGCCGAGAATTATGTGATAATTTATTAATACGTAAGATAGTAGTAAGGCTTATTATGTTGTTATTATTTATACTAAAAAAAAAGATAACTAACAAGATGGGGGGGGGGGGGCATTGTTAATATTGGAGAATAAGGGCTCGTGACGTATTTTAGAATCGTAGTTAGGCTTTGGTAATGTTTTTAGTGAGACGCTGCCGGCCATCGCTCGACCATTAAACATCACCAAAGACAGATAGATAGATAGATAATTTATTTACATTACTTACAGCACACAAATTACAATAAAATTACACATAATACACAGCAAAAGAGATAAAAGAATGAAAATAAAAAAGCACAAATAAAAAAAAAAAACAAAAAACAAAATATATAAACTAACAATCTCCCTTCTTTCCCTTCCTTCACGCGTGTGCCATAGTAACACAAAATGGTCACATCTCAGTTTATTGCTTTGCCCTTAAAAGAGCGAAACACTGATATTCTGCTGTGGCCAAGAGTCAGTCGCGAAACTCCTCATTAGAAATAACAATAAAGCCAAAGCCTACCTACGGTTACCAACTCGCCCATCAAACATAGCAACTGCTGACAAACCCCAGCAGTGGACAGTTAACATTATAATAATAATATGAAAATGATATAAATTTTTGTTGCCTACCTAAACCTATCTATCAACTTTGATATTTCTCATGTCTATATATTTTAAGAGAATTTTAAGAAAATTCACAGGATATTTCCGTTTGTACAAGCATCCTCATACATTATCCCATCCATCATACAAGTTATTGACTGTGAGTATAAAATTCTCTGTTTTGATTTTAAGTTAAAGAAAATACATTTAAATTCTAAAAATATTTATATATCTTTCATTATTAAGAAAAAATAATCTTCCTAAAGATAACGTATATATATATATATATATATATATATATATATATATATATATATATATATATATATATAATATATATATATATATTGATTGCGTGGTCCCGGCATAGAATGGGACAGTTCTTATATTTATATATTTTTTTTATAAGACTTAGAATGGCAAAGAAGCTGACGGCCCATCTGATGGAAAGTGGTAACCGTCGCCTATAGACATGAGCAAATACCATGGACATAACAGAGTGTACTGTTTCGCCAATGATACCTCCCATGCGTTGCCATTCCTGAGAACTTAGATGTTATTCCTCTGTACCCTGTAAATTCACGCCATATCCCAAACCGAAACACAGCCATGCAAACACAACTGCTTCACGGTAGAAACAAGAATGAGACAGAGGTACCCATTGTGTACTAAGAGGTGGTTAAGGGTTAATTTAATGGTTAAGAGAAGGCAGTGGCGGGGTGGGGAGGGAGGG